CCCCCCCCCCCACGGCCGCGGCCGTTGTCATGGCAACCGCGGCCCCTCCCCTCAGTGACTAAAACCCTCCCATTCGTGAAGGTGTTGCCTGACCTTTTTGGTTTGTTTTTTATTAACTGCTCGCCTACTTTAGAGAAGACCAGGGCTGATAACTCATGATATATAAGTTCCTGTGGCTCATAGCAACTCTAGTGAATTTTTATTTTTTATTTTTTTCCTCAGAGTTGTTGTCTATGCCGGCAGTAAAGCGATTTTCTGTGTCGTTTGCAAAGCATCCGACTAATGGTACGTCTGCTTCTTTCAAGTATTTTTCCACTTCACCTCCCTTTGTCTTGCATGTCTTCAAACTTTTTTGTTCTTTTTTTGAGCTTGAGCTTTTTTTGTTTTCTCCACATGGACCTCCAGCATCTCAGGTTTCCGTTATTTTCTATCTCTTGATTGTTTAAGTTGATTTTGTTTGTTTATTTTAACCCATTAGCTTTGGACATCTTAAATTTCTAACGCTACCCGACATCCTCTCTCTAACCAGGGTTCCCACTGGTCTGACAATGGTTTCCAATATCAGATCACAACATCCCAGAAGTCTCACAAATGCAGTTAAAACACAAAAGCAAAGACTTGTTGATACAAGTTCAGAAAACGACACAAAACAGAGTCTGTTGGGTTCAAAAGTGAGCGTTGGCTTCATTCTCCGACAGGTTTTTATGAGCCTGTGAAGCCTTCTTCTCAATCGTAAGCCTCCATAATCATAGAAATGGGAGATGAACAGCTGTTCTCTGCCCCAGTTCACCAAATTATGCTCAGACAGATTTTTAGAAAAGAAGAAACCTTCTCCAGAAGCTCCCCTCTGTGAGGAGCCTCCAGTAGGAGCTTCTCCACCTTCTTGAAGGACGTCCCAAAGCTCTTCTCTGGATGTTTGGCTGCGTTTTGGGGAGGATCGGTCCCTCCATCAGAGCTGGTTCAGGTCTGGTTCCTTCCTTCATGGCTTCTTACAGCCCCCCTTCATGGACAGCTTTTCAGGCCCAGCTGTTCTTCTTCTTCTGTCCTCCTCTGGTCCAGTTTCCAGATGTTTTCAGGACTCTACTCACCAGAGATCTGCCCGGTTTCCAGCCAGCAGCTCTTTGGGAATCCTCAGAAATCCTGTTTCTTGTCTGTAAGACTGAGTTTTCCTGGCGTTATTCCTCCTCTGATGACACAGAGGGGCTCAGCCCTTGAGTTAGGGGCCTTTGAGTGACTCAGAGCTCAGAGTTAAGCGGGTAAACAAAGAAAAAACTGGACTGAAAATGAGAGAAAAACTACGAAAAACTGACAAAGAAAAACCCGGAAAGAGCTTCAGACAGTTTTGTGTAGACACAACGCTGGCTCATCCCTTGAGTTATGGGCCTGTTTTCTGTCTGAATGATTCATAGGTTAGAGTTTAAGTGGCTGGTCAAAGAGAAAACACATTCAGCTATGAGAAGCGGGGTGAAAATGGGGGGGGGGGTGGATCCCCGGCTGCTCCTGCTGGTCTGAGTACGGGCGTTTTCCCACCGACCACCACACAAATGACCAAACCGTGGGGAAAAAAAACCAAATGCGAGTGGAAAATGGCTTTAACCCCCTGGAGTTTCCTCCATTTGAAGAACCCAAACCAGTGGACCATCATCCATGTTTAGGCCCCAAGTCACCCCCCCTTCCTCCCTGTTTTTAAGGCTCAGGAAGTAGGTCTAACCAGGGGTGGGAACCCTGTTTAACACCCTGCATACAGTCTAAGGTGTGCTCACCATTACCCAAAGATCCGTGTTGGCATCGTCCTGTGAAGAGACGTGTGTGTGTGTGTGTGTGTGTGTGTGTGGTGGCATAACACATTATTCTGGACGCCGTTAAGCTAGCTCATCGTTCACACTCCACTAGCAGCAACTCAATGTTTAACCCTCCTCCTTTTTTTTATTTAGTTATTTTCGTTATTGTCTGTGACGTTAAGCTCATTTCCATCTCCGATTGGCTAGCCGGGGGAAGGGTTACAGCATTGTCCATCCCATCTCCTGTGTCCGCACTGAAAGAAACACCGGCCCCCCCGGTCGGGTCTGGGAGCAGAAACGGGTGGAGGCTGTAACTCCAGTCTGAGTTTTCGGAGAAGCTTTTAGGCCAAAGGGCGAAGGGAAGCGAAGAGTTGGAGGCGGAGTCTCGTGGTTCCGGGTGGCTTTGCGTTAGCCGGAAGGGTTTCCTGTTCGTCCCGATACGATATCTGGATCCGATCGGCCGCCGGTATTTGCTAAAAACAGCAGGAGAAAATGCAGATCGAGACTCCAGATCCATTTTTTTTTTTTAAATCCGATCCCACTTGAGCATTAGTGTGAGGGACCAGACTGAATCAAGGACAAAGGCATTCCAAACATGAGAACATTTTCAATTTAATGATATAAAAAATTATAACAAAAGGTCATACTTCCATACAATGCAACTAATTTTTATAAATAACCCAACTGAGGTCGACTGAACACAAACCAAACTGACCTCCAGACAAAAGTAAGGCGGCTTAAATAGGGGGGGACCGCCCTAAACTTCCCACATGAAGGAGGAACATACTAGAAGTACAATAAACACAAAACCTAACTAAATAGAAGCAAAATCATATTCAACTTAATACAAATAATATATTAAAATGACAAAATAACTTAGGGCTCAACTGAACTTAGCTTCAGAATTAATCTCCCCCCTCAGTGTTTGGAACAATGGTATCTTCCAAGGCTTCCACCTCCAGCTGGATTCTAATTGGGGCCTTAATGGTGGTAGTAGGAGCATCCACCACCATTAGCATTAGCATTATCATCTGTAACCACAGGTCTGTGTCCTAACCATTAAGTTGTTATCAGAGTAAATCCCTGTTCAACATGAGTCTGACAGCTAAGGAAGTAGATAAATAACTTTAGACTTTAGTACATGCTCTGATAGGCCAGGATTTTTAACCTAACGTGCTAAATTTACAGTTTTTTACCCTACACTGTACAATATTTACAGTTTTTACCCTAAAATGTGCTAAATTTACGTTTTTTTAAACCATAAAACATGCTAAATGTAGAGTTTTTACTCTAAAATGTGCTCAATTTACATTTTTTTTAACCATAAAATAAAATATTTTCCCGAAAATTGTGAGTAAATCCCTGTTCAACATGAGTCCGACAACTGAGTAAGTAGAATTGCAAAATTGACATCTTGTTCCACTAAATGTGTGAAATCTATGTTTTTTTTTTACTCTACAGTGTGCAATATTTACAGTATTTACCCTGAAATCTGCTAAATTTAGAGTTTATTTACCATAAAATATGCAAAATTGAATTTTTCTCTCGGAAAATGTGAGTAAATCCCTGTTCAACATGAGTCTGACCACTAAGTAAGTAGATAAATAACTTTAGACTTTAGTACAGGCTCTGATAGGCCGGGATCTGGGTCGGATGGTTATCGGATCGGGTTGTCCCTGTGGGGGAGCTGCTGTGTTGTTGTTACTCTGCTGTTTTCTGCACTGGGCTGGCTGCAGGAACGCGGGACGACGGCTCCGGCGAGGCGGCGGCTCCGAGCGCCTGGCGCCCGGCGGGGGGGACGGCGGCGCCCGGTTGGTCCTCGCCGGTCGATGCCCAGACGCCCGCATTCAGTCTGAACAGATGCTCCCTCCTCTAGTGTCTCATTCACTGTAAAGGCCAGAAGTTACACCACTTCCCTGATAGTTTCTAAACCATTTGGGACGTCCAAATATTTGTTGTAGTTCAATTTAACCCGAATATTTGTATTTTTTTGCCTCGTGCTTGTGATGAAACACTAGAGGGAAGTGAGAATCTGTGTGTGTGTGTGTGTGTGTGATAACACAATTAAAACCAAGTGACCTGAGTGGTAATATCTCCAAATAGCAAATAAATCCTTAGTAAATCAGATTAAATGCACTCAAAATTCCAATTGGTGCAAAAATCTTTCTTCGAGTCGAGCCGAGGAAACTTTTCTTTGATCCACTCTGAGAAAAACTCCCCTTTTTTTAACCACCGCATCCAAAAAAAATCTACTTACTAACACAAAGCTGAGAATCTGATTCTGGAGTCAGTCAAACGTCTTTTACATCCACAATAATGACTCATAATGATAATAATTAAACTGTCTCAAATGCACCGACTCTATTCATCATCAGAATAAATATATATATAAAATATTTTGTTCTAAAGTGAGAATATTTTAGATGTGAGGAAGCAGGTATCCAACAGATTGATCCGGCAAAAAAACACCAAACAACCAAAATGGGAAGTTAATTTAGTGTCTTAGTGGAGGAGCTGATGCAGAGGCTGTTGCAGTGCATTGTGGGATTTGTAGTCACACACCAGACAGCTTGTTTTTTTTTTTAATGAATTTAAAATTGGAAAGTGTCAGAGGGCAGAGTGTGACCGTCCAATCACAGAGCAGATTCACCAGCATGTGAGATGGTTTTAGACCAGGAACAGACCAGAACCTGGTTCTTTAGACCAAGACGAGACCAGAACCTGGTTCTTTAGACCAAGAAGAGACCAGAACCTGGTCCAGAGATGGACTTTAGACCAAGAGGAGACCAGAACCTGGTCCAGAGATGGACTTTAGACCAAGACGATACCAGAACCTGGTCCAGAGATGGACTTTAGACCAAGACGAGACCAGAACCTGGTCCAGAGATGGACTTTAGACCAAGACGAGACCAGAACCTGGTCCAGAACCTGGTTCTTTAGACCGAGAAGAGACCAGAACCTGGTTCTTATACCGTTAAGAGACCAGCACCTGGTCCTAGGGCTGCC